CACATACAACATTGATTATTTATAACCAATGTAATAGTTGGTAAAAAAAAAAAAAAATACCACCTCTATTTTTTATGTCATTGCCACTTCTCCCACCCAACATTAAACCATGTATGAAACAATTTATCACAATAAACAATTAGTCCACAATGAACAATCAAAGCACAACCAACAATAATCAAAACATAGAAGAACACATATGGAGAGAATTGTGCAAATCAAACAAGCATGAATGAAAATACAGTGCCACAACTGCCACACCATCATCGTTAAAAAACATGGATATATATATAGAGAAGAGACTAGCGAGAGCAAGCGTTGGTGGCGAAGAGTGTCTGTGATGATATGAAAATAATGGAAGATGGGAGCATTAATGACGGTAAACTAGAGACTGAAATAGAGAGCAAGCTTTGTGAATGTCCAATTTTGTCTTCTTTTTCTTCATTTAACTAATTCACTTTGAGTCACCTTAACAAAAATATATAACCCAAAAATAGTAAATAAATAAATAAAATAAAAAGGTTCTCTAAATTCCATCAAGTTTGATTACAAATAAAAAATAATAACAAGCAAAAGATGACGATCAACGATATTTATATAAACAAACAAATTCCAAATCTCAAAAGACTTAAGTTGGGTGATCTTTGAGAATGAGGAGAATCAAACGTTGAATTTATATATTCTCATTTCTAAAATGCCAATATACCTATTCTTTTTCAAACGCACAAAAAGGAAGAAGAGAGGATAGATGTTGACAACATAGGGCTGGGTTAATGTGTCCCATATTAGGGATGATTTGCAAGTGTATCCTCTCACATTCAAGACAAATATTCCAAATCAATGAGTCAAAAGAAAGTTGAGAAAGGAAACTTACATTTTGTTTGATAAAAAAATTAAAAGTCATTAGCATTAAAGTTTAGTTTCAACTAGAAAACTTTTGTCTCATACCATAAGAGCCCTTAGCAAGGTTAGCTTTCAATGTTAAACATTTATTACTTTCTTAATTATATACGTTATGTTCATGATATTCTTCTTCACAAATACATATAATGCAATGTTAATGAAAAAACCTCATATATCCTCACTAGGTATATAAAAATGCAAAAAAATAAAAATAAAAAGGAAAATAAAATTTGCTCTTACCTTTGATCATAAGAACTATCGTGCAACACTGTCAAAGACGATTTCCAAAGGTGACATTGCCTTTTTTTCTTTCTCCTTTTTTACTTTCTCCACTCCTTCCCTTTTTTCTCTCTCATCGTCTCTTCAAATCCATCACTAAGTCATAATCTACCATAGATAGAACCCCTTTCAATGTTGTTTAACCTAAAATGAACCAAAATGTTGGCACGACAAACTACTATAAGTCTCAACTATCGTGTCTTCGTTACTGACTTCACTCTCTACTGTCACGCCAAGCTCTGCTCTCCACTATCTGATAAACAAGTAATTGTGACATCTATAAGAAACTATCGTTGCTTGTGTGTATCTATATGTTAAATAGATTCATATCTACGTATATTATATCTATAATGACATTTTTTATATGTCTATACATGTAACATATATTGTAATGCTTGTAAGATATGATACAAAAATGAAACAATGATTTCAATTTATTGGTTAAAATTAACGATATAAAGAAATATAGATAAGGACTTTATTATACTACTATTTGAATTATTTAAGTTTTTGATTCTTTTAATGCCCTAACTTGTCCATCGACCTTTATATAGTGTTTGATTGAAAGAAAATAAAAAAGTTAATAGAGGACATATTTTTATAAACTTTTATTATTTGAGTCAATTTTAAAGAAGAGAGTGGAAGTGGGTGTATAAAAAACTCATCCTCATTTGATTTTAACTTTCCTCCAATGTTGGGGAATTTGTAAGGCATTTAAAATATTTTCAGTATAAAATCTAAAATATTTTTACTTTAAGTTTTAAAATTTAAAACTACAAGGGTAAACATGTAAATTAGTTTTTAAATATCCCTTCTCTAATGAATCAAACAAGAAAAGAGATATCTCTTCTCCTTTATTCAAATCCTTCTCCCTTTCTTTAAACTAAATATATTTTCTAACTCCTTTATTTCTCAATCTCTCATCTATTAAAATCTCTCTTCTCCTATATATCTTTTAAACTAATTAAACAAACTTTTATAGTCTTCAAAACATGTTTGTTTCTTTTTAGTCCATTTATAAAAGTATATCATATGTAATTCCTATTTTTGTTTTATAAATGCGAGACAAAAAGAAGATAATTTTTTTAAAAAAAAAAATCTTATGGCAATTTACAGAAACTTTAATTTAATTACTACTTCCTTTATTTTTTATTATGTATAGGAAAAAATGCACATTGTTTTTCCAAATATAAACACATTTAATTTACTTTTGCTTCATTTATAAATAATCTTCTTAAAATAGTTCTTATTTAATGTATGACTTTTTGGTTACATTAACATTTATAATAAGAATAATTTAGAAAGAATATTATGAATTTAATAAATTTTAATAAAAATAACCAATTTTTTAATTTACATATATTTTTTTTATTTATAACAAAAAAAGAAGGGAGGTATTATAGAAACTTGATAATTTAATTACTGTGTTTAGTTGAAAGAAAACTCGATGCTAACTATATAAATAAGTGATGAGGTTAGCACTCTTACTTATTTATTCTCACTCTTTGTTAATAACATATTATAATAATAATAATAATAATAATAATAATAATAAAATATTATTATTATTATTACCCGTATTTAATTATTAAACATTTTTTTAAAATTAAATTTTGGTTAATATATATGAATCTATTAGCACTCTACGCACTAGAAACAAAAATCTATATATTAACACTCTAATGGAGTTATCCGCACCTTAATTATTAACAAATTTTAATCATAGTTTATTATATTAACTTTATTTATAGCAAATTATTCGTATAAATTAAGATAAAAGATTGGTTTGGTTCCCACTGCTTCGTAGTTGCATAGTTAATATTGGGAAGCTAATATCATAAAAAAAAATGACATATGAAGTTGTTAAGTAACAAAGTAAGCTGAATTGTTGTTATTAAATTCATTGGGTCATAACCTCATAAATAACCTTTCACAGATGGCTTTTTGAAGACGGAATATTCTTTGAGTTAGGCCATAGTTGGGTCGGGTGATAGAGAAATATTTAGTTATTTACTGGTGAAAGAATGATTGACTGAATAATTCAGTGGAAGTAGATGGTACTAAATGGAGGCTACTGTCTTCTCTTATTTGCATGATTATGATACCATGCATGCTTTTCTAATGCTAGAAGTCTGTGGCCAGTATGCACATATCATAATAACTGCAATTTAGGTATTTGTGTGTGTCAATCGGTGTTGCTGCACACTTCTCCTCAAGCAAATGTGAGTAATTGTATCACATGGTGGCTTCTTATTCAAATTTGTATGGGAGTATGTTGGAAGCTTTTTCGGTTCTTATTAATAATATTTGTGGCTATCTAATATTAGGTATCTAATACTGCTCTGGTTTGTTAATTGTGACATTGTATAAGCAATGCATGGAAGTTTAATCATACTCCGAAGAGCAAGCTGAACTTGGCAACTTGTACTATATGTGTTTACTTTTTTATATAACTCATTTTGCATACACATACATGTATTAACCTACCAACCTTCCTGATTCACCTTGCATGTTTTGTAAGTTGAGGTGGGTCAATAATAAAATAGGATTGATTGACCTATCAAATCAATTTTCTATTTTTTCTTATCTTCAATTTTCTAATTAAAGATTTTTAATTAAAGTTAATCACTTATACACTGCCAGTGTAAAGTTTTTTTACATTGATAACTAGTTATATCTCTTAATTATGTCATGTCACTGTAAACACATTTACTTTTAACAGTGACGTGACACAATTAAGAGATATAATTGATTGTCAGTATAAATTTTTTTTACACTGACAGTATTTAAGTAATTAACTCTTTTAATTAAAGACGCCGATCGACTTAAATTCAATTTCCAATATTTCTCGATGTGAACCCTCATTCACATTCTTATTTATATTTTTGTTTTTTTTATTTTATAATTTGTGTTATTTTTTATATCCAACCCCTTACACAAAATATAAATATATATATATATATATTTGTGGTTGGGCATATATATTCGACCTACTTTAAAAAATTGGTCAACTTCTTCTCTTGTCTTAGTTTTTTTTTTTTTTTACACCTTTAGTTTAAAGTGAAACTTCAGATTGAAAAAAGGTAAGAATAAGTGATGAATAACAACACAGTCAATTAAAATAAAAAATAAAAAATTTATATAGATGAGGTTAATTAGTTTAAGAGATTATAATAAGTGTGAAAATGAAAATGTAAACGTACTTCATTAATAAACTAAATTTAAAATTTAATAAAAAAATGGCTGTGAGAAAATAATAACAAGTTGTCAATGTCAGTATAAGCCAAATGGAGAATCGTTAAACCCACCCATAATTAAGATTAAGTTATATGGACAAAATTTTAATATTGTATATTAAGTGTTTTTGGTATTCTTTTTAATTAAAATTAGAGCTAGTCTTATAATCTTTGGTTTATATTCTTAAGTTTAAGAACTTAAAAATAAATTTTAATTGAAGATGCCCCAAGACATTCTTTCTGACACAGTCTTTATTATTATTAATTAAAATTTATTAAAAGTTAAAAAGTTAGAAGTGAAAAAACATTTTCTGTTGGTCAACTAGAGATGAAAACCTACTAGAAGTGAAATTTATTGAATAAGTGAGAATCACAAATTTTATGACTTCCCGATAATGTGTTTAAAAAGTACGTTAGAAATTGAGTTATGGATATTCTCTTAATGATCAACTAACCTATGTATAGTTGTAAACAACGTAATTAATAAGGATATTATCAGATAAAATTATATTTTATCAAGAGAAAATAAATTATTTTGTTAAGATATATGGATTAAACTACTTCGGTTGAATAGTAACAAATGCCCCCGAGTTTATATTGAGGACTAAGCTGAGTAAAATGAAATGCTTCTTCAAACTCAAACCAACAGCTAAAAGCAAAGATGAAATATACATGGAAATTAGTGCAAGAGTTGAAGCCTTCCCTGTTGATGGTGCTAGCGCAGGTTGCATATGCTTCTGCAAACGTGCTTTACAAGCTCGCCATAAATGATGGAATGAGCATTATGGTTGTCACTGCCTACCGTCACATTTTTGGAGCTGCTTTCTCTCTTTCTCTTGCTCTTATTTTCGAAAGGTGCATATCCACAACCCCGTAACTTCTTTTGTTTAATTTCTAAAATTTATATTTGTCATTTTTTTTAATTTATTTTTATATTTTTATGAAAGCAGAAAGAACATGCCAAAGTTGACATGGAGGGTGCTTTCGATGTCATTTTTTTGCGGCCTATTTGGGTATGCATGGTTGATGCAATTAAAACTCATTTTCTTTTAATATCTTTCTCTTTTCCCGTTTTGTTTGGCATGTCAATTGCTAAATTGAAATCAAAGTTATTAATTAAAGTGATTAGCAAAATTAATATTACATTACATGTAATAATATGAACAGAGGGAGTTTAGCGCAAAACCTTTATTTCATTGGCTTGGCTTGGGTATCAGCGACATTTGCTACATCCGTTTATAATCTCGTTCCTGTGATCACTTTTATCTTCTCCGTTTTGTGCGGGTACGTAGTTACCAGTCTCTACCATATCGCCGTATATTAATTTATGACTTTTTTTTTCCTATTATAGAAAGATTATTCATCAATAACTTGCATAATTGCATCAAGTACTTCTTTAATCTTTTTTGTAGCTTCGAGATGTTAAATTTGCGAACCGCAGCTGCGAGGGTTAAGGTTTTGGGATCGATAATAGGAATTAGTGGGTCAATGCTGCTCACGTTTTTCAAAGGGGGAGAAATAAACATTTGGACGTTTCACATTAATCTTTTGCACAAAAATCAAAATGGTCACATAGCAACACTGCATGCTGATCACTCTGGAAGAAAATGGCTAGGTGTTTTATGTGGTCTTGCAAGTGGCTTCAGTTTTTCATCATGGCTCATCATTCAGGTAGGCTTAATGTTGTTTTACTTTATCTCATGGTACATAACATATATAAATAATGTGTGAATTACGGTTTTGACTTTTGAAATTTTCTTTGATGGTTGATCACTATATGGTACAGACTAAGATGAGTAAAGAGTATCCAAGCCTAAGGCATCATTCAAGTACAGCGTTGATGACCTTAATGGCGGCAATACAAGCCACCGTCTTTGCCCTATGTGTAGAGAAGGATTGGAGTCAATGGAAGTTGGGTTGGAGTATTAGGCTTCTAACTGCAGCTTTTTCGGTATATATATGCTAATTTCATAATTAATATTGGATGGTGAATTAGTATAACCAATATATGATTAATTATTAAGAAACTCAAATGTTGTGGCAGGGAATTGTGGTCTCTGGATTAGTGGTTATTGTCACTACTTGGTGTGTACGGCTGAGAGGTCCATTGTATGCATCTGTTTTCAACCCTCTCTCACTTGTGATAGTGGCTATTTTTTCTCCCTTGGTGTTGGATGAAAACCTATATGTAGGAAGGTATATATACACTAGGACCATTTTATTTTATTTAAAAGTTGATATCAATGTATGATTACTGGCGAGAAATATTTTGTGCACCATTTAATTGACATGATTTTTTAAACCCTTGTGAAAGAAAAAAATGTGGGTAGCTAGCTTTATAGATTATCTGATTATCATGTTGAAATTATGATTTGGTTTTTTGAAAAATGTTCAGTTTAATTGGAGCGTTGCTAATTGTGTGTGGCTTGTACATGGTGCTGTGGGGTAAAAGCAAAGAAATGAGATTGGAGTCATCAGAAAAAGAGAATTTTGAAGCGACTGCGGCTGTTGTCATTACGACACTGGATCATGACAATAGTGACTACGGCAACAATAGCCACACAATAAGTAGCTAGTAACACCAATCACACTGTTACAATATGGTTTCACGATGAATCATCGTGGAGTGGACATGATTCACTGAACAGCAGGGACAATAACGTGAAAGAAGACATCTATATATGTATCTCATGATAGTCTCAGGACCTAAAGAATGTTGAAGTGGTAATTAATTGGGATGCGTTGACGATGGTACATGAATTAGGATGTCTACGTTTAATTACAACAAAACTCAAACAACTGCTCCTTCGTCTCAAATTAACAAATTATCTGTGTTTTAGAATTTGAAAACTTAAGTGAAAACTGCGAACTATATTATTTTATCCATATTTCATCAATAAGCAAATCCAATTCGAAAATTAGGTTCCTTGAAATGTTTTCTCTTAATAATTTTGGATACTCATCATCTCCCTTGATCTCTCAAGCGTTTAAAGTTAATCTTCAGCACACACTCAAATTCCTTAAAATAAATGTCTAACCACATGGTTTGAAAAGTGATCCAATTGCCACTATTTATTTTGAATACATATGCAAAAATCGTAGTCTTTTCTTTTGATTGAAATGGGTCAGAAGTACAATATTACCTCTTTTTTAATTATAAATAACTTAAGATCAAGAAAAGTAATTAATATAATTATTTTTAATTAATTTTTATCATAAATTCAAATTTTATTCTAATTATACATTTTAAATAGTTGTTATATTTAATATTGTTTTATAAGTGAATGCATAAAAAATAAAGTTAATAATAAATGAAGGATATGAAAGTAATTTAATCTTTAGTAACTTTAAAATATAATAACTGTTGTTTATAATTAAGGTTAAAAAATTTAATTTATTGTTTATAATTAAAAATTATGATAAGATAAATAATGAAAGGGATAAGAAAAGTACTTAAAACATAATGCATCTTCCATGTACTTGTCCTTAACCCTCACAGCGCTAGTTTGTAATTTTTGAATATCGAACATTTCGTTGACAGCTTAATCGATAATTTAGACGGAAGATAATATCAATCGTTTTGAACCTAATGACTTGAAATTTGAATCTGGAAGAACACAAGAAACTACGAGAACACATTAGTATTATGGCATGGGCTCGTTACTTCTTCTTACTATCATTGAACATGAAAAGGCTCCAAGTGTTACAGTAGAATATAAGCATTAAAGTAAATAAAATGGAGTGAATATAAGCATATATATAAATAATGATATGGTGAGGGAAGTTCAAGTGTTATTCTGACCCATAATGTAGTTACTCGATAAAATACTGCACATTTTTGCTTTAGGGGATCTACACTCATGTTTATTGATGAACAAATTGCAATAACTCTTACATTTTGTAGCTGCGAAAAGTTAAATGTGCGAACCGCGACTGGGAAAGCTAAGGTGTTGCGGCTCAATGCTGGTGTCATTTTTGAAAGGAGTAGAAATTAATATATTTGGAAGAATATTCACATTAATCTTTTACATAAAAATCATAATAGTCAGCAACTCAGCATGATGTCTCCAAAAGATGGATAGGTGTTTTGTGTGGCATTGCAAGTTGCTTCAGCTTTTCAATAAGGCTCATCATTCAGGAAAGTTTTTCGTTGTTTTTAAAATAAATTATACTATATATACTCTCAAAATTTCGTGAGATCAACAGATCAATCCTCTACTTTTATCCCTCTTTCCCAACTTCCATTAATTATTTTAAAAGGTATAACACACACTCTTACAATTTACATTAACTCCCTTAATATAAAAGATATGTTGGTATAAATGTTAAAAAAATTGAAATTATTTTAGCAATTTCACGAAATCTTAGAAAGTGCTTGTTGAATTTACTCTTGTTTTCACCGGTGCACATGTTACATTTATCATATATGTGTATTTAGTGAGACTTGAGTTATAATCACTAAGGTTTGTTTAATGGTAGGATGGAGAATGGTTGAAATAGTTAGAAATATGAGAACTTATTAGGTTCAATCTTCATTATAATTACCATCTTTACAATCTTTCCTATCTTTGTAATAAAAAAAATAATAAAAAAAAGTGAAACTTGAGTTATAGGATATTTTTGTTGTTATATGCATGCAACAGGCTAATTAAGGTGAGTGAGGAATATCCAAGGCATCACCCAAGTGCAGCGCTGATGACATTAATGGCGGCAATAGAAGCCACAATCTTTGCCATTTGTGTTGAGAAAGGTTGGAGTCAATGGAGATTAGGTTCGAGTATTAGGCTTGTCATCGCAGTGTACTTTATGCGGTATGCTAATTTCATAATTAATGTTGAATGGTGAACTAATTATATTATACGGAATAGCAAAATAAAGATAATTCGTGCTTCGTAAATATTATGTGTGTGAAAATTATTAAACTCTAATGGGGTTACAGTTTATTAAAGAAAAAACTGTTTTAAATAAATAATTTTTATTTATTTAAATTGAAAAAATAAATTATTAAATTATATTGCACCAAAAGAGAATGTATGACTATTAAAATAAATAAAAGATATTTTTTAAAAAAATTATGTACATGTGTGTGTATATTTTTATAATTATCTATCAATTTGAATTAATGAAACGAAATATTAAAAATTACAGATTTGAACTATGTATTAAAAAAATTAATTCAACAATTACATCATTAAATTTTAATGTTTAACATGAGTTACTGAATGGAGTAAGCCTAAATAGATTTACTTTTGGAGTAAATAAATTCCTCCTTATATATGTATGTATATCTATCTTAACTTATTCTACTCAATGACTCATATTCTACATCAAAATTTAACAATTCAATCATTGTATTAAAAATTTTTAATATATAGATCAAATCTGCAAAAAAAAACTTAAAAGTTTGAAAACTATTTGATATTCCGCCGTTTCTTTAATTCAAATCAATGTATAAAATATTTTTATGATTATTCATCAATTTGAATTAATGAAATGAAATATCAAATAAGTTTTAATTTTTAAAACTTTACAGACTTTTAATTCAATGATTAGATCTTGAAATTTACATAAAACATAAGTTATTAAGTGTATTAAGTCTAGGTAGACTTACTCTTACTCTTGGAGTAAGTGGATCTTTTCTCTCTCTATATATAGAGAGAGGAGGGATCCACTTACTCAAAAAATAAGTCTACCTAGGGTTTGCAATGAATTAAAAAAATTTGATGCATAGATTAAGTTTGCAATTTAAAAAAAAGTTAAAAATCATTTGATACTTTGATATATAAATTCAATAAAATATATAAAATATTTTTATAATTATTCGTCAATTTGAATTAATAAAATGGGGTATCAAATAATTTTTAAATTTTTTAAAAATTTATAGACCGAATTTATATATTAAAAAATTTTAATTCAACAATTAAATCTTTAAAATTTGATATAAAATATGAATTATTGATTGATATAATTCTAGGTAGACTTGCTCTTAAAACTAAATGGATTTCTATCCCCACTCTATATATATAGGCATGATGTAGCTAGTTCATTTAAATTAAATATGGAACAATATCAGTGAGAGTAAATTGCAACAAATAAGTCTTTGACACTAAATATTTTATTTGCATAATTATTTGAAAAATAATATTCATACAATATTATTTATGTATCCATCCCTCAGACTCACATGATTTATTATATTTATTAATGATGGAAAGATACACAAAAAAACTATTATACACATTGTTGTATAAATAAATTGTTTTACATATATCATTACTCTCTTGTAATATCACTAGTGCAAATAGAACTTTTTACAACACAAATTTTATGTTAAATCTAATCTACATGTTATACAAAGTGATGTGGTTATAAAACTATAAATATACAAAACATTTTATGTTAGTTGTTTCACTCAACATAAAAAGTATTTTCTATATCCAAATGAATCAACACTTGTTATAAAATGTATTGGAATGTGCTAACTTTTAAGTTAATCGATCTTAACTATTATATGTTGAATGTAATAAAATTTTTCATAGAATATTTTTTAATTAACAAGATGTTTTCTACGGCTAAATCAAAACATAAAAAAAAAAAATAAATAAAGCTTTTTAATATATAAGCCGTGAGTGTCCAAATGAATTATGCATCGTTGACTTTGTTCCTCACGAGCCTGCGTTTTCATCTCCCTTGTACGGTAGAGTGCTTGGCTTTTTGAAACATGAATGTTCATTGTTCAGTGTAATTAGAGTTGTGTTAATTGTGTGTGGTCTGTATTAGAGCTGTGCTGTGGGGTAAGAGCAAAGAAATGAAAGCGGCAACTCTTGAGGTTATTGGAGTGCCTGAGGTTGTTATCGTGCCTATCACAGATAGTAAATAGTAAGAGCAACATTGAAATTAAACAAAGGCTCGTGATGAATCCTCCAAAAAAGAGCATCAACTGAATGACATTGGCAATAACGGGAAAGAATTGAATAGACATACAATGGACTCATGTATGGGTGGTTATGGATGGTAGAATTTACATCCTCTTCGGCCAACTTTTTTCTCAAGCCAATATCATGCAAAATCTCAACCTCTAATTCATCATTACATAGCTTCAAGTTGAAGAGAGAAGATAATGTATGGACTTGATTTGTGTTGGAAAGAAAAATTTGATGTAGGCTGCATTGGATCCTTCTTTTTAGATGATATAGGATTAAGATAGACTATAGATTTTAAAATAAAGAAAAGTAATGGAAAACAAAAAATAATTTGTAGATACTCTAAATGATATCCAACAATTGGAGAGAAAAAAAAGTATAATAAGTGATAAAATGTGGAAAAAAAAATAATAAAGAAAATGAACAGGGTTTCTGGGGACATACAAATGTAACTATCTTCCTGTTAGATAGCTCTTGAGCAATTTTGAAAATTTTACTTTTTTTTTTCTAAGTATGTTATCAATTTGAATATTTAAATCATCAAATCATATTTATTATAATATTTTAATTAATGCTATTGTTTATTTAATAAAATAAGTAGGAAAATCATTTATTTTTGAGTAGGAGAAAGAAAAATCCAACATACATAGCATTTACCTAAATTCAATTTGTCTTAAGACATCTGTATGTGTTAATTTAAAACTCTATTGTCATCCAAACAAGTGACATTAATTTATAATATAAAAAAAATTGAATTTTGAGTGTTAATGAATATATAAGGTTATATTTTTGTACTATGTTTATAATAATTTAAATTTAATTCATTTTATATTTAAATTAATTGTGTTAATTTTGGGAAAACATTTATCATGTGAATTACATGATTCATAATAATTACAATGACGACGTTCAAAATTTCATGTGACAATTATACAAAATGTTGAATTTTATATAATTCAGAAAATAATAAAAATATAAAATTATTTTAAATTAAAAATATTTTAATTTCATGTGCAAAAAAAGACATTAAAAATAATCGCATGGTCATATCACACCCTGCACAATTTTCCAACAATTGTATGATGGAATTTGCATGTATAACTGCTGCTTCTATACAAGAATTTTAGTCCACAATTTTCCTTTGCATGGTAGACTTAAAGTGTGTTT